TGAGTTTGACTGCCTAGCAAACCATTCTTCCGAAGGTTGTGGGACTGCCAAGTGCTTTCTTCAAAGGCAGACTCATCCACACAATTATGGAATGGTCTTGGAAGTAGGGGAGGAGTCTCCTCACGGTGGTGATGAAGATGAAGGTCCTCACGGTGGTGATGAGAATGAAGGCAGTCGTCTCTATGAGAGGGTAGTTGAGCTCGCCCGCTTTCAGGATTCGACTCACATAGTACACGGGGGGATGTTCTCTTCCTCTCAAATTAGAAAGAAGATGATGGCTTCATGGGAGATGGCCATATATAGGTACAAAGTTTCCCCTCCTATGAGTTGGCTTAATAGTGGTTTGGTGCTTAAGTAGGCTTTAAGGTCTTGAAAAGCTGCACTGCATTCAGCCGTCCAATTCATACTCTCCTTAAGATTCTTTCTTCCCCTTAATATTTTGAAGAATGAGAGGCTCCTTTTGACAGATTTGGAGAGGAAATGACCCAGCGCTACTATCTTTCTGTTCAGCTTCTAGACGTCCTTCAAGGTGCATGGTTCGGGTAGTTGCTCTATGGTATCTATCTTTTTTAGGTTGATCTCAATGACTATATAGTTGATTATGAACCCAAGAAACTTTTAGATTGCACCCCAAAGGCAGATTTGGCTAGATTGAGCTTCATGTGGTAGCGCCAAAGAGTGGAGAAGGTCTCGTCTAGATCTGATATGTAGGCCGACGCTTATTTCAATTTCACCAGGAGGTCGTCCATATAAGCCTCCAAATTTTAGCCGATCTGGGGCTTGAAGATTTTGTTAACAAGCGTCTGGTATGTGGCCCCAGCGTTCTTGAATCTGAATGGCATCATTTTGTAGCAATAGGTCCCCTAGTTGGTGATGAAGGAGGTCTTCTCTTGATCATGTTTTACCATAAAGATTTGGTTGTAGCTGGAGAATATGTCCATGAAGCTGTGTAGCTTTTGCCCCACGCTCTCATCGACCAGTTGATCGATCCGAGGTAAGGGATAACTATCTTTAGGACAGGCCATGTTAAAGTCGGTGAAGTCCACACACATCCTCCATTTGTTGAGGGCCTTCCTCACCAACACCATGTTGGACAACCATTTTGGGTATTGAACTTTCTCTGAATGAAACCAACTCTAAGGAGCTAATCAACTTCCTCGGCAGTCGCCTTCTACCTCTCAGGGTTGAGATGTCGCTTCTTCTGTTGAACCGGCTTGATGTGCCGGTCGACTACCAGCTCGTGGCTCAGCACTTCAGGGAGATCCAAGGCATATCTTCGGGCTCCTAGGCGAATACATCAGCATTCGCTCGTAGGAACCCCATCAATGCTCCCCGTAGAGGCTCTACGAGGCTAGACCTAATCTTAATCATCCTCTGTCCTTCTCGGTCGATCGGTATCTCTAGGAGTTCTTCCACCAGAGTTGTCCTCTGGCGCTCCGTTGCTTTCTCCATCTGAAGGCATACCTTTTTAATAGACAGGGTCTCTTTCACACCCTTACCCTTGGTCGAGAGCAGGTAATAGGACTTGGCTTCTCGTTGATTACTCCTAGCGACCCCGACCTTATTAGGAGTTATGAACTTCAGCATCTGGTGGTAGTTTGATAGGATGGCCCATAAGAGGTGGAGGGCAGTCTGACCCAAGATGACATTATGGGCTAACTTGAGATTCATCACCGGGAACTGGACTTGGATGGAGGGTACTCTCCGACCATCAAGAGAAGAGCGATCACCCCTTCAGGTAAGAGGGAGTGTCTGATAAATTCGGTAAGGGCCCCCCCTACATGGCAACAGGTGAGATTTGTCGATGCCCATTTGGTTGATAGCATCGATATATAGGATGTCTATTAAGCTCCCCATGTCGACTATAATCCTCTTCACCTGAAAGCTTTCAATCCTGACTGTTATGATGATGTGGTCATCATGAGGTGTCTCAACACCCTTCAAGTTGGCATCTCCAAAGGAGATGGGTTCCTCTGCTCTCGGCTTCTTGTCACATAGGTAGACCTACAACGCTTGTTTATCATACCTCTTCTGAGCATTGTTGGATGACCCTCTAGCTATGGGGCCACCACTGATCATGTTGATGACCCCCTTATGGTTTGGTTTCAGGTGTTGATTGTCCTACTATGTTTAGGGAGGAGGGGAGCATGAGAGAAACCTCCTATCTATCCTAGTTGGGGCAAATTCCCCCTTTCTCTCTAGGAGACTAGCTTCTTCAAGTATCCTCTCTGGATTAGGTCCTCTATGTCTCTCTTTAGGATATGGCAATTATTGGTGAGGTGGTCATGATCTCTAAGGTACCGACAATATTGCCGTGTGTCTCTACTGTTAGGTCTCATGTTTATGAGCCTACTATCTAATCTAGTTTTAATGATTAACAAACAATTCCTAACATTATTTGTCGAGTGTTTATATTTACTTGTTAGGAATCCTATACAAAGATCCTAGTTGGTGGTTGGTTGGAATTAAGCGTAATGACGACATCCTTTAGAGGTTGGATGAAACTGGAATGAAGCCACTTGCATTTCAAGTCAAAGAACACCATTGCGCTTCATCCATGTTACCAAGATCGAACATCACAAAGAGATCATTAGCTTGGGTATAGTTTTGTAGTCCAGGTTGTTTACTTTATGTGGTATAAAAAAGCTCAGATCAAACACATATACATTTCGTTTTATTGCTTTCAAGTTTAGCCATTTAAATATGAAACTAATAGATATATTTATATACATACACATTTGTTTCATATTTATCCCATTATATATCTTTTTGTGAAAATAATATGTTTATAGATTAAAGATTTATTTACACTATTTTATACATTTCCTCAAGTCTATTAATCTATTGAAAAGTGTTTCAAAACTTGTTTGGAATGATTTCATCAAAATCAAGTTTTGACGATTTTGTATTCTTGAACAGTTTGCAAAATACACGAGTTTTCATAAATAAGAAATGCAATTTTGAAAACTTTCTTCTCTAACATGTTTATGATCATATGAATAAATAATTTCCCAAAATTTACAATTTTTGAAGTTGTTTTGTTATTTTTAATTGAATTTAGAAAATCAGCTTTTTAGGTTTCATGTTGTTTTTGCAAAACAGATAGATTTTCACAAACGAGAAATGATATTTCAAAAATTTCTTTGTTTACATGTTTATTTCCATATATATAAATGTTTTCCCAAGTTTTACTATTTTCGGAGTTGATTTGTTATTTTTAATTGATTTTACATAATTAGCTTTTCAGGTGAACAATATCAGTGAACAGTGTTTTCAGTCGACCGACACTGTTCATTAGTCGACCGAACTGTTCATTTTTTACTGTGCATATTTTTAGTCGACTAACACTGTTCATCAGTTAACTGACATTGTTCATCAGAAATTAAACTGTTAATCAGTCGACTGAACAGAAGCGTTTTTCAGCCTGGTTTTTTTCTACAGACTATCAATCGACTGATACTCTTTGTTAGTTGACCGAATGACTATATTTTGCACAGTAACGACTAGTTTTGAGCTGTTCTTGTTTTTGAGGCTATATATATGCCTCATAACTCATTTGTTTTGGTTCATGGAAGTTTAAACTGAGGTTTTAACATCTTGTTTTTAAGAGTTTAAGTGTTTGTTTGGTTTATGCAAAAAAGGTTATAATGAGGAGAATCAAAATTTTATCTTTGAGGAGTTTAACCTCAAATCTTTATTCCTTACTTGTTTAGAGAAGTTTTTCTAAACTTATTTATCTAGCTTATTTTCATTTTGATTCCTATATTTATATTTGGTTGATTTAATTGAGTTTAATTTCATTATTACTTATTATTTTCAAAAACAGGCTTAAGTATTTCACACATTGTATAATTTGGATTGTGAGAGTGTAACAATTGAGTGAGCTTTTATTTTTGTTCTCATTTGTATTAGAGAAAAAAAAATCATTTATTTGAGCTTATCATTGAGAGAACATGTTGTAATACACAAGAACACTTAGAGGAGTGTTTGGAAGAAGAACGGGGTTAATATCAAGAGAAGTGGGTTGGTAGTAAAGCTTAGGAAGATGTAGTAAATCCAAACACTTGAGGTAGGTGACACGGGTCAGCCAACACTAGAGGAGTGTGTCTTGCGGGATTGGCAACGTGTGATATTATAAAAGTTTTCGGTGAACTTGGAAAATCGATTGTATAGTGATTTTTATGATTTAGTGGAGAACTTTGTGAACATGTCATTGTGTTTGTGTTTGGCATTGACGCACTTTCTCATGTATATTTTCATATTGCCTTTTATCTCATGTTTATATCACCCTTTGTTTAATCCTATATCCTTGCATATATTACTTGTACACATCATATTACTAGGATATTGTTAATAAGTTTTAATTTGGCATCGAAATCGGATTAGATTAGCAATTACCCTATTCACCCCCCCCCCTCTAAGGTACTTCATCTTGTTCTGTGGGTTTGACCTCATTTTCGGAGGGGCTCATTAAGGTGCCCCTCCTTCCGGACCATGTTAAAGACCGTGAGAGAGGATCTGGGCACTGGGTCCTTCCGTCGGTTTAGGGATATTAAATGGGTGGGTTTGGGTATTAAATTGATGGGCCATAAATGGGCGGGCATATTTTGCCCATTTGCCTATTTATGGCCCATTTAACATTTTCTAAATGGGCGGGTATTTGCCCGCCCATTTAATAAACGGGCTGCCCATTTGCTCGTTTATATATAGTACTTTTATGGTGTTTTTTTGTAGTAGCTATATATATATAGTACTTTTGGGGTGTTTTTTTTATAAATTTTAGGGGGCTTTTCGCAAACTATTGGGGCCTTTTTGCAAACTCTTTGGGGCATTTTGCAAACTCTTTGGGGCTTTTTGCAAACTTTTTTGGGGGCTTTTTGTAAACTTTTGAGAGCTTTTCGGAAACTTTTTTGTGGGTTTTTACAGGGTTTTTTTTTTCCAACAAAAAGAGAATAAAGCTCTCAAAAGTCAGAAAAATTAGCTGCAATTGCTTACGCATTTCATTCCTCTTCCAATTCTTTATATAGAAGGTACATTGATTTCCTATCTAACTCAACTTGTCTCTTCAACCGATCCACTGAACTTTCTCCTTCGATTTCACTAACTATAGTCCCATCAAATGATTCAAAACCAGACTCATTTCTCTCAATAGAAAGAGTTTTTGTAATGTTTTGCAATATAGTGGAGCTTGACGCATCAAAAAACTTCAAATCATCTCCTTGCACATGAACTCTAGGACTAGGGCTCAACTCACGAGCCTCGCCAACATTAAGTAGTTGATCTTCGGGGATATACGATGAAGACTCAGGCTCACTATAAGTTCATTGAATCAACTTCTCCGTGATTGTATCATCTGAGTGAGACATCGACAAATTATTCAAAATACTGGCAGCAAACTGTAGGTTCAAGCATCAATCTTTCATACCTTCCTTAAGGTCTTCAGCATCTTCTGATAATGGGTTTTCCAACTCAGAATCAGAATTAGCTTTAACTTCGCTATAACCGACATGAGACAAGCGATCAACTCTGTGATTTTTTAAATGATGAGTTGAAGGTGATACTAGAGAGCTTTCCATTTTTCTGCTCAATCTCTCATTGACTCTAATAGACTTGTGTCTAAAAGGCACAAAGCAACAAGAGCAACGATTCGTGACTGAAGAACCTGACATATGATCCTTTGTCAGTAAAGTGAGTTCAACATCTTCTCCATCAACATTCTCATCAATCTCAATACCTAGTTTACCCACCAACAATCTATAAATTTTGCTATTCGACTTCTTCTTAGTGGCAAATGAAACCAGGCATCCTTCAAACATCTCATTGACATTCGCAAGCTTTCGATGAACATGACAATAAGCGAAAGATGAGATCTCTGGTTTATGGAATGTACAAATTAAATCCACATAGAACCTCGACTTCTCATTGCTAAACACATGATCTAGCCTTGAGCATAGAAAGCAAGGAGCTTGTAGTTTACAGAGACAAGCGAATCTCATGACCAGGAATGAGAACGAGGCATAGAGAAACAACATAAACGCTTATCTTGTCATTGTAGCACCAATGGTAATCGGTAATAATCCATCTGAGCTATTGTAACGAATTCCCCAAATCCAGTTTAAACAAGCCACTTATTGGTTGGATAATAAACAAAAATAGACAGTTTAAACAAGCCCAGCACAATTCAATCAAATAAGGCCACCAGTCAAATAAGGACTCTGGATAATGAACAAAATTGCAGAAGGCCACCAGCCAAATAAGGACTCTGGAGATCATAATCATGGTAGATTAAATCAAACTTGCAGGAGACAACATAAATCAACCAAGACCCAACTCCCCAAATCCAGTAAGATGACCAAAATTAGATCGCCATAAAGACAATTCAATCAAACTAAACTTAAAAATAAAAGAAACAAACTCACCGAGGACTACAGCATAAAGCTCCCAAATTTCACGAACAACAAGAGATCAACAAAGAGAAAACGAGGGACCTTGGAACGAGAGAAAAATGACAAATTTATATCATCCAAAACTGAGAAATTTAGGGGGGGGGATTCAAGAATGAAAAAAGAGAAGATGGAATTAGACCCTGGAATGAGAGACGGAAGGGCGTGAGGAGTGAAGGGAATGAGGAGAGAACGATGGAAATAGCTTCAAATCCTTAGAAATCGCCATGGACGTGGAGGCGACATCGGCTACTCGGAGGCAGCGATGAGTCGGAGATGCTGGCGTCGCGGAGGCGGCAGCGGCGACTCGGAGGAGGCGGAGAGCTGTTAGGGTTGGCAAGAGTAAGAGGAGAGAGAACGAAGAAAGGGATTAGATTTTGCAGAGATGAGTATTAGGGTTTCAGTAAGATGAGAGAGAGAGACGAGAGGACGAGAGAACGAGAGAGATAATTAGATCACGAATGTTTTCACTCGGGCAGGTGGGTTTATGGGCAGCCCAATGCCCACCCATTAAGTGCCCATTTATCCTCTTTTTAATAGATACCCAATGTAGGCGTCGAAAATTGCCTATTGGTCTCCACGAACAGCTCAGTGTTAAGGAACGACAATGAACGTCACTATCTGGTTCACAGGAGTTCGACTGACGTCGGTGAACGATTGAAGTGAACCGACAAACTACGTGAGCTGACGGAATTTCGGAATAACAAAGGCACAGGCTAATCGAGAGCCCCGCGATGTTACAAAAAGAACAACGCCCTTCGTGTCTCGTTCATTCTACAGATAATCCAACCATTGGAGCTGATAGAACTCTTCGTCAAACTTCCAACGCACTTCGAATCACTAAAATCCGAGTTCGGACGAAGAATTTACAGCGGAAGCGGACGAATGCACCTCAACGGAGTGTCTCGGCCAATGTGAGACACCCCAGGGGTGTCTCGGATTTTGTGAGACACCCCACGTCTCGGTCAATGCGAGACACCCCAAGGGTGTCTCGGAATTTCCGAGACACCCCAGGGGTGTCTTGGAATTTCCGAGACACCCTAGGGGTGTTCGGATTTGCCGAGACACCCCAAGGGTGTCTTGGATTTTTCGAGACACCCCAGGGGTGTCCCAACGCGGATTTGGGCCCTGTAGTCCGTTTTCACGGATATCGACGTCCCCGTCACAGGCTAAAGACCCACGCAAGCAAGAGACGACGAACGGATCTTGTGTTTATTTTCAAGAAAGTTGTAATTTTTATTTCTTTGTTGTTTAATTCATTTGTAACGTTTGAAGTTTTAATGAAATCAATGATGAAGGCAACTTTCCTCGAAAACAAGCTGGCGACCACAGTGGGAGCCAACGGCCTCGCTGCCGAGGCCGTCGTGACGCAACCGGCCTTCAAGATCCGGGTGAACGAAGAGATCGAATACGAGTTCGATCAACAAAAGTTTGAAGAGTACCTCTCTTCCTCCTCCTCCAGATCCGCCTCCCCAAACAGGCACAGGAAGACTTCATCTTCCAGAAATGCTCGCGGGACCTCCGACTCGAAGATCCGAGATCCCCTCGCTGTTGCATCTACTCCCCACGACGTTCCTATGACGTCCAACGCGGTTGAAGCTGCAGATCCAGATCTGCCCTCCACCGTAAAGACAAGTGTCGAAGGTGCTCTAGCTTTGTCGAAAAGGGCACGCCAAAGACGGCGTCAACGCCTCGCCCGACAACTGGCCAAGGCCGCAGAATTGATGGATGGGATCCGCTACAATGAGGATCTAAAGTCCAGACAGCGCCAAGAGCAACAACGGCGATCAACCAACTCCTCCTCCAAGACAGAGACGAACGAATGGGTTCGTGTCAAGAGGACTCGCTCAACCCTCGAAGAGCGAATCAAGAAACGTCGTGCATTGCTTGCGCATGCCCGAGTCCTTCTGCAGAAAGCGGAAGAGATGCAGAAAGAAGAGACGGTCAAGAAGCCGTCAAAACACAAGCAGATGTGGGTGCCAAAGGCAAAGCCGGCACCAAAGGCAAAAGCGGACGGAATCGCCGTCTAACCTTCATCAAATCCAGATCCCGTTTCCCTTGCCCCCGCACCTCCGACGGAGTCAAGTAAGAACGTGGGTCCTTCTAGATCCAGGGTTCCTTTGAAAGGTCGTCTCGGTCCCTTATCGGAGAACTGAGGTAAAGCACCTGTCAAGGAGCGATTGGGACTGTTGAAGGGTCCCCAAACAACAAACCAGACTGGGGGTCATGCTAATCCCCCCAAGAAAGATAACAAAGGGAAAGCCCCTGTTGCCGACCGCATTGGATTATGGGTCGAAGTTCAAGAGCCCGTTAAGTTTTCACGCTCGCAAAAGCGTAGACTTGAACGAGCGACTTTTGAAAACGCTAATAAAGCGCCATATCCCCAGAGGGAAACACATTCGTCTGATGATGATTGTGTTATACCTGGGAAGTCATGCCAACACTCTATGGGTTGCTCCAGTTATCAAACTGATGAGTTGTACTATAGAGCTGGGGGTGCGGGTAAGTCTCGAAAGAGAGATGCTCGAGACATGGAATCTCACTGTCCGTGTGCCAACATAATCAAGGCAGTGTTGTCAGAATGCTGCTGCACTAAAGCCCCAAGGAGAGTTTCGGTGTTCGAGAGAATTTCCATCGGAACGTCTGAGACCAGGCCAAGGCGTTTCCGTAGGAAGAAGCCTGTCCGCCAAGAAGACGAACTCCTAGAGGTGTCTGCTAATATGACAGGCAGAGGGAAATCGACGCGACCTTCTAGCTCAGATCAACTTGCCGAAGCATCCCAACGCGTGACTCGATTGCGGTCAGGGATCAATAGGCGAAAGAATTATCAAAGGATGCAAAAGGGACTTCCTTTGGAAGAGGAGGCGTCAGATGCTGGTTCAGATTCCTACTCGGCTATAGCATCCGATGACACAGCGTCTAGTGCGGGACAGCCTTACGAATCATTTATGATCAGCGCCGAACAAGTAAGTAAGATGCTTGAAGATGCCTTGACTAAGCAGAAGGAAGCTTTCAAGTTCGAGATGGAAATGGCCATGCAGCAGATGAGAGAGATGCATGACCAGCAAATCGCGGCACTGACAACTCACCAAGGAGAACCCAGTCGTCGCAATAATCCGAATCAAGAGGAGAATGAACGGGAAGAGGATAATGCCAACATGAACATCCCTCCCGTCAACAACAATAATGGAGGTGGTCCCTCGGATGATAATGCGAAAGAGGATCACGTTACCTCTCCCCGAAGCCACTCGAAGACAGATACGAGTGAAGACAAGAAAATGAAAGACTTGGAGAGCAAAATCAACGCATTGATGAAGGCTCAAGAAGTGAAGTGGTCCGGCATACCATGTCCATATCCAAGGGAGTGGAAATCAATTCCATATCCGGCGAAGTTCAATTTAATCAACTTTACGCCATTTGATGGAAAGGGTTCCCCTAAACTTCTTCGACGACGACACTGAGGTCTCAATCGGCACTCTGTTTGATGAGAAGCAGAAGAATGGTGAGACAGTCGAAAACTTCATGAAGAGGTTCCGAAATAAAGCAATGAATTGCAGGGATCCGGTCAGCGAAGATTTCATCCTCGAGACTTGTCACAATAATCTTTCGTTGGACATCCTCGAAGCTATGGGAATGGCACCGCCAAAGACCTGGAAGGATCTGAAGGTGCGAGGAGAACGAGCCGAGCGATTCCTTAAAAGGAAGAAGGCGAAAAGGGGCCAAATAGCTAATAATGCCCCGCAACAGAACTGTGTCCCTAAGAGAAAAGCACATGCGAATGCTGTGGACACGAATCAAACATTCGAGGTGCAAGCGCAACCGCAACAGCGGCAACAAAAGGCGCCTCAACAATCAAGGTCACAACAGCAATCCCGAAGGCAGCAAAAGACTTCGGAACCGAAACTCCAAAAAGAGTATTCCTTCAAGGACGAAGACGTTCCAACCATCTTCGAATCCCTCCTTGAAAACAACAAGATCAAGCTACCACCTATCGTCAATCAGGTGGAAGCTGACAATACTGCGGATCCGAAGTACTGCGCATATCACAGGAGGATCCTTCATCCCGCCAAGGCGTGCTTTACTTTAAAGAACAGCATCCAAATCCTGATTGAAGCCGATGTTATAACGCTAGGGTAAGCCAATTGAGAACGGCAACACTCCGAAGAGTATACGAGTATAAATTGTTTCTCAATCCTCCAACAGGTGCATGAGGTTAAACTGCTCCCTACATACTCCAATAGGTATATGAGTTTAAACTGTTTCCCACTTTTGACGGGAAGTTCCTGGAGAATATTACGCTAATATTCTTAAGGATAACCCGGTCAGGTAACTGAGAATAATATCCGAACTAGTTCCGCAGAGGAAGCTGGGGGTGGACGATTTATGTAACGGGAAATTCCTAGAGGATCATATATTCTCAAGGATAACCTGAACATGCGATTGAAGATAACGTACTCCTCGTTACACCCAGTTTTGCAAGAAAGCTGGGGGTGGACAATTCGTGTAACGGGAAGTTCCCGAAAGAATGTTAATACTCTTAGGGATCACCCGAT